TCTTTTGAACGTTCACACATTCTCGTTTGCTGGAGATCACAATGTTTAGTGGTAAACATGGCAAGGATTGAAGAACCCTTTAATTGTATGTGCCTGTGTCCACATATTTGCAGATGAGATTGATGTCGTTTTTCCAAACTCAAGCCAGGCACTCTTGCATCACTGAACAAGTAATTGAAATCAGCAACTTGCCTTCCAAAAATATGTTTGCGTTTGGAATATACCCCATTCTAATTCATATATCACAATTTGCTTGTCAATGTAATATGAAATAGTGTTTCAAAGCCTCAAAAGGTTTGGTCCTCTCAATCCACATGGTCCTCTCAATCCCATTTCCCCACTGCAAACACCACACCACTCCACTCGCGAACTCGATGCCTCTCATCACAAGTCCGCCCACCTCACCGGCCTCGCAGCACTTGGCGGACTGGATCCTGGCGCAGAACAAAGGCGTCGATTTGATCAGCCTGGACAAGTGTGTCGCTACTAGTAACAAGTGCCTTACTAGTAGTAACAAATTAGACGTCCAGGCGTCGATTTGATCGGAATGAGCGGCCGGCAGAAGGGCGACGAGGAGGTGAAGGCGACTTGAGTCGTTCTGCGTTGGTTTCAACCTGGCACAGTCGGAGCAGCCAGGCCTTGGCGGCCGCTTTGAAGGAGAACCGACAGGTGAGGCGTGTCGAACTCCAAAATAATGGCTTTGGCGATGCTGGAGCGGAGGCATGGGCGTTTTGCTTGCTGGATTTTGGAATTGAAGAGAAGCACCTGCTTTCAGCAGGCTTTAGCCGAGATGTTGCACCAGAACCGTACGATCAAAGAGATTGTTCTCAGTTCGAATCGCATCACTACTGTGGGGGCGAAGGCGCCCTTTGAGCCGAGCTTTGCCGCTTTCGGTTTCGGATTCTTTGAAGTTGCAGGCGTTGCTGGAGGCGCTCCGAGTCAACAAGGTTGTCACGTACATCTCTCTCGATGACAACGGTGAAATCAGCGAGGAGGCTCCGGTGACATGCAGTGAGTCGCAGTTTCATTGAATTTGTTTGGTTTTCCAAGTAGGTGTGTTTTTTGTCAATAGCAGTGGGACGACAATACTGTCTAAACATGTACAGCACACTTCAGCGTGTTACGCCAATCTTTGGCTCAAGACTCCCGTGGTGCAAGCGAGAAAGAAGCGCGCCCCCGCTGCCCATGAGGGAGAGAGGATAGTCTACTTGTACTTCCCGTCAAGCAGATTAAAATCCACACGCAGGTTATCCGCCGTAGCCGCTCACTGCAACAAAGACTCAACTTACTATGTCGAGCTCTGGAGGAAAGAGTAGTGGGCAATTCTCTTTCGCGGCTCCAGGAGGAAATGCATTGCAGTCATCACCTGGCTCAATCAATGATGCTAGCTCTGTTGAGACTGCTACAGTGGTTACCATGCCATCCACATCACAAGCTTCAGGCAATGGGAGGGCCGTTCCACTGGAGACGACCTCTGCTGGATCTGATGCTAGAATGGGCAACGCAAAGAGGATTGTGAAGAGATTTACAAGATCTACATCGCCGAGAACTACGTCGAGAAGATCGCCCAAGAGAGATATTGAGAAGGCAAAAATTGAAGACGCCAAGGAATATGAGGAAAGAGAAATTCGACTCATTGAAGAATTGCGATCAGCGAGAGTTTCCTACCAATATTTGAATGACGAATACAGTTGCTTACATGATGGGTATACCAAACTCTACGCTGAATCAAGAGAAGAATTTTCGCAGATGACAAAATGCAATATGGCAATGAACACTCACCTGCAAGAGATGATGCAAGAGGATGAAGGAGCTACTATAAGGATCGAAGAACTTGAGAGGAAGCTCAGACTTGCCGAATCGTTGGCAGATCACATCTACACAAAGTACAAGCACGAACAGGTCGCTTATGAGAATCATGAGGAACACTCTCAATTTCACGAGGTGACGTCCAAGATGGAGGACATGACCAGCGAAATGCAAGGTGCGTTCCAGTACATCCAAGAACAAAACCAAATCTCAGACACCTACAACAGAAGAGCTCAACATCTCGCTGAAGAAAACAAGGCGATGATGAGCGTCGCCGATGAACTACAGACAAAGATGTTGATGCTACAGGATGAGAATAGCAACATGTTGGAGGTAGCTCAGAGAGAATGAGAAAAGCAATGGAGCACTGAGATGCGCCACATGGTATTGACCAACGATGCAGCTGAAAGCAATGATCATCATTATCAAGACAAAAGGATGATAGAACACCTTCGTGGTCAACTGGCACTCGTCAAAGGATCTGAGATGAATATGGTCGCTGAAATGGGCAACCATGACCTTGAACAAAAACGGAGATTCAGACATACAAAATTGAAGTCAGTGAAAGGGAAATGCGAGCACAACAGTTTCAGTACGAGGCAAGGATGATGGCAGAAGCAACAAAGAGAATGGAAGACGCTGCCAGCCAGATAAAGATGCAGCCCAAGGAAGAGCAACGTCAGCTGAGAGAAGCCGATTCTGCCCTCACGGAAGCGAACAAAGTACTGAGAAGGGAGAATCTACTCGGAACGTCCGCAGTCGATGATGGTAGAGAGAGGATAGTTCTCGAGGAGAAATGCCAAGAGATTGAGGAAAATCGCAAGATCGCCAAGAAGAAACTCTTGGAAGCAAGATCGGAGAATGCCAAGTTGAAGGCAGAGACGCAGGTGAAGAACAAGACGAACATGGACTGCACATTTCTTCGGTCTATGGGCAAGTGAGGAAATCACGAGCTTCGGCAACCAACTTCAAAGCTTTGATGTTGCAGCTGTTCATTCAGACAAACAAATAAACCCCTGGAGATAGCATGTTCATACCAAGACCTTTCGAAGAGAACATGGACAAATGGGATATCCAGAGCTGTGTAGAAAATGGAAAGCTAAAGGAATTCCACCTGCCTACTTGGCATGTGCAAGCTACGCATCACAGATCGGTAGCCAGGAGATCATCCAGGAACGATTGCGTAGACAATTGCAATATGTCCTTGAGGTCATGAATGACGATACCGAGGGAAATGTGTCCGTCAAGGAGTTCCTCGAGGGCATGGTCAGCAAGCTCCATATTCTCAAATATCAAGAGCGAGTTGAAAGAGACAACTACATCGGTTACCAGAAAGAGCTGAATGACCCAAAACCCGACCCAAGGAAACCAGTGAGAGGTGAAAACGACAAGGGAAGGATCATTTTGCTGTTTGCCAAAGAAAAATTTGGGACGCATTATGTGAATTCCCGGAGCAAGTCATCAAGTTCTTTACACCGGAACCTTTCAGTCAGAAACAATTGGCATTGACGATGAAGGACACCTTGGATGGGAAGCTCTCGAGCTAGACGGTCCACTGTATTAACTCCACTGCAAGAGCCGTTGATCCCCTGATCCCGATCACCAGAGATGCAGCCTTTTATCAGGTCATGAACAACTATGGGCATCGAGGACCAGGTCAAAATCATGGAGATCATCGAGCAGTGGGACACAATGAGTTCATGGAGAGCGCAAGGATTGCGCGCCGAAGCATTGCCTACCTTGGGTTCAACTTACGATTGCGCAACAAGAACTGTCCTGAATCCAAAATGAGCATTGTGGACGTGGTACAGGCCATCGTCGATGACAGAAAGGATAAGAGAATAGAGATTGCAGCAGCAGTGACTGTATGCAGTGCATCCAATTCATGATGAAATGCTTTCACGAGCACAAATCGAGGGACACCAAGTGGTTCTTGCAAAGGCCATATGGTGAAACAATGACTGTACTTTTCAGAAACCTTAGAGACTATTTCCCAGAGATTCCTGAAGAACTATGGGTCATTGGGTATTGTGTGTGCGGCGCAGAAGCAGGACTTCAACAAGATATAGAACACAAGATGGCGTACATCAGCAGCATGAATCACTTCCTCGCTGAGCGACATCTTTCTGCGGCCGAGCTCACAGATCCTGTGTTGAAGCAAGAGAATTAAAGGTGTACCTCTCCTTCCAGGACGACATGACTGGACCTCCAAGGCTTGAAGAAACCAACCTACACTTTCCAAAGTGGGTAGATATGCTCAACCGCTTCAAGAAATCGAAAGCATATGGAGGAGACGGCGTCGACTGGAATGAAGAATTGAGAGAGAAAGTCCGTCGAGATCAAGGAGGAGAAGCAAGCTCATCACAACAAGGTTCCCCCGGATGGCAACAAGGGAAAGGATTCAAAGCAGGGCCGCCGTCTTCGTCTCAAGGAGGGAAGTCGAGATCATCGGCAAATCGCGTTCCAGAGGGGCAGCCACCGAAGGCGCCACCAAAAGCGCGACCCGACACACCAAGATCAAGGCAGCTCCCAAGACCGCTCCAGAACCTCCACCTGTTGTCAAATAAAAAAGAATGGTACTCTTCAGCTCCGCCAGAAGGCATCGTGGCCGTTGAGATGCTTGGAAAAGATTACGATGGTCACAATAGCCGGTATATACTTTGGGCAGAACGCAAAAGCCAACACATGTTCGCACCAGCACCTATTGCAGGACCAAGAACGAAGATGCATGGTGAAGAGAGACAATGGTGACTGTACTTGCGTCGCGTGGCTTGTCATGCGGGTGTGGCTATGGGAGGGGCAGTTGACTCTAGGTTCGACATGCAACCCATCACCGAGTACTACCTGAATACCAAGTTGGGTGAAGATGACTCATTTTGGACGAAGCTCTACGCAAAACTTATGAAAGAGTTCGAGATTGAGAGGTGTAGCCAGTACCCGAATGCCAAAGCCATGCTGATGTTGATGGGTATCATCAAACCGACGGAAGGAACCAGGTTGATGGTCAAGCATCTACATTCAAAAGTGGGTTGCTTTGTGGATGAGAGTTCGAAAGTCAAAGTAGTTGGGAATACAGGCCACTTCGAACAAGACGAATTGAGCGGATACGTGAGGGGAGGAAAGCAGAACTCCATGATCTTCATCACAGATCTTGACTGCACGACAAAGGCCAGTACGTCAAAGAAGATCACTACCATCGGCCTTGGGTTACAGAATGACATTACAATGCTGTCGAACATTTCAGATAGAGGGCAACTCGCACTCGGACATCATCAGGACCCTGGAGAATGCGCACGCCATTTTTGGAGGCAAGTCGCGATCAAGGCAATGGTGTCGGCGGGACCACCGTCCACATCTGGTTGTGTATGAAGTGCATGTATCCAAGTGGTGGCACAGTGAAGTTCACAGAATTTTTTTCAAGAACTTCACTCAAGATTTCATCGAGGCGGTCGACCGGATCGCAAACCTTTTGAGCAGGCCAATCATGCTGAATGCACAACCGACAAGCAAGTTCTTTGGAACAGGGAGGGTCGATAGTCGTTCGTTCCTTGTCGACATCGTCCTCCGCGCCAGATGCTTGAATGTCATTGCCACCATCAAGTCAAGAGTGTGGAGGACCATTTGGTCACTGGCCAAGTCACCAGGCAATATCCCTCATACCGGATTGTCGAGGAATAGCATCTGGGCAATCATTGAGAAACAGCTACGCAGAGAAAGGATGTTGTTGCTTTGTGCGATGGACCCCAAACGCGTGGCTGAGATCAATAGAATTACCGAAGATGACACAATTGGATGCCTGTCCCCAGCAGGTCACGACAAGTATGTCAACACAGAGATGCCGAAGGTCTACTCCGACGCATCGGCCGTTGGATCAGATGCGATTAGAGGAATCATAGGTGAGGAGTCAAAATGGAAGGACATTCATTTCGCCATGAAAGACCCAGAACCTGAATATGATCCAACGGACTATTGGCTCAGAGGAAATCGAAACATCGATCGACTCACTGTAGCCGACATACCCCTACCATTTCTGTGTGATCACTGTCGGAAAGAGGATTACTCATCAGAATGGAAAGAATGCGCGGCAAGTCCAAGAATGTGTGTGAATTGCAATTACAACTTCTGGTGTCGGAACGACGAACTCCACTCAATCAGTCAAGAAACAGATGAGAGATGGGAATCCGCT